TGCTCGAGACAAAGGAGAAGCTATATCCAGCTAAATGTTGCTTAACATTCGTAGACTTTTTGCTGGTTGGATGTTTCTTAATAATATCGGTATCAACATTGTAAAGATGATATTACGAGTGTGTTACGTCATTTCAATCTATCAATTTCTTAGATGGGAAGATTATTGTAAGTGAGTTATTACTGTCTTCATCTATCTTCTGGTAATCTGTCAAAAATGCCCTCGAGTTGTATGTATAACCGATAGTCATATTGAGCTTAACATTGCCACGGTTCTAAAATTACCATCCATAAATTGCCACAGTCGATCCTAAATAAGCAATGCTTGCCCATCAGCGGTTACCGCTTACTGCGCGGTGATCACAATTCGTCTTTTTATTATCGTACCTTCCAGAGGACGCATTGTAAGCGTTCACTTGTAAGAAACCATTTAGTGGCTTAGGACACCTGCACAGTGAATTAAAAGATATTTAAAATTACAAATTATACCTTAATATTTAAAAGTCAATATGAATTGTAATATTATGTATAATATTTACTTATTAAAATATTATTACAATTGAATTATAAATGAAGACCATCGTTTTTGTTATACGAGTGTCGTTTTTGTTTTACATTATAACATCAGACACATTTGTCTTACTTTTGTTACTAAGTCAAGATTCCCATTTATAGATAGCCTTACTTACTTTTGAAACGTTGCTCGCTGTTTTACGATTACACGCAGTGTAATTGAGTCTATGTGAATTTATTTGTTTTAAACGATGGATTTAAATAAATGCATCTCATTTTGTAAAGATAATATTATTATTATAAGTTTATTTGATAATATGGGAACGACGTTTATCTTACCGAAGAATTTATATTTAGAAAAATTGAAATCGATTACTAAATTAACTCTAATAAAACCTTATCTTTATTACCAGTTGTCTAGAAAACATGCTCCATTTTTGTGGAACTTTGTAAAAGTCTTTTTAAACAAAACGAGATGAAACTTTTCGGCAGTCCATGAGATTCACCGTGTGGGTGCCGGGTCCATCGTGTTGCAGGGAGTGGAGCTTCAACAGTGCCTGGGACTTGCGACAGAGGTGTAGGTTTAAGGGGCAATCAAAGTTAAAGTTATGCAGTAAAAGTTTGATTTCAATTGTTTGCAATTATAAATGTTTTTTTTTTTTTTTTGTTATCGCGGTGAAAGGTTTTATACCTACCCCTCCGTCTAGGGGAGACAGAGGCGGTTATGTGGGATTCACGGCCAGAAGGGCCCATGTTACCCACTAAAACACCAGCGGTCACTCTCCGTTGCCGCCAAGTGGATCGCCACGGGAAACGCCGAAGCATGCATCCGCGACGATCCGGCGGCGGGCCGCGAACGGCCACCTCCCCCCCCGAGGGCTCACTCCAAGTGACCAGGAGTGTCCCCCCGCCTGGCGGGCTTGCTTAATCGCGAGAGGGTTAACCCCTTACCCCTCCCACCCAAGCCCACGCGGCCAGTCTCCAACCACCCACCGACGAGCGCAAGCGCCCGACGGCAGACAGAGAGGAAACCGACCGACCACAAGCGAACTCAGGCCTCCGGAGAGACCCGAGTATCCCCTCCCCCCCAAGACAGCCACGGACGGCCTCCTGCCAGATCCGTGACCGTCTTACTCCCAGGGCTGTACCCTCAGCCCTCCCCCCCGTGACTGATTGCACCGGAATACACCAGTGGGCGATGGGGTCGTCACGTCCCGACGCCGGAAATTATAAATGTTGTAATAAGTATTGATTGTTATTTTTTATCTTATATTCTTATGTATGATAGTTTTTTGTATGTCTTAAAACGTCTATAATAGGGTTTGGTATGGTTTACGGATATAGTACAGGTATAGTAAAAAGTCCCTTAATTTTCAAACGAAACGGGGCTCTCTGATTGGTCCGTAAACTGTTCATATATTTTTTTCGCAATTTTATTATTATTGAATATTGTCATTTGTCTTTCTAAGCGCAAGTGAATAAATTTTAATTAGTAAACAGTTGATTAATTATTAATTAACGAATTATGGAAAATTATAGCTGTGAACTCTGTGCTTATGATATGTGATTATTGAAAATAGTTTTTTTTAATTTTGTTGTTTGATAATAAAATTAAAATAAGTGTAAAATTAAGGTGTGTGACCAGTTGAGATTGAACTAAAAGAAAGGTAATGTTATTCTTTTTAATAAAAGTTATTATGATAGTTTTAATTAGTTTGAAGGTTGTGTACACACAAATAAGTTATTTTGTTCGCCTTGTTTGTTGTTTTCAAATCATAATAATAAGAATGTTTGAATCTTCACTGGATAATGGATATTCCTATTCAAATGCCTTATTTGAGAGATTCATAAAGTATATAGATGTTCCTTCTGATTGGACTGCTGTAACATTAGGCTCGAATATTATCGATGTTTAGATGAAATTAATATGTTCTTATTACTTCGGGTATTTTATTATGTTTAAAAACGACATACTCCCGACATTTCGATTACTTTGTAGCAATCGTGATCACGATCTGTTCTAATCAGATCTCGTCTGTCCGTTAAAAATAATTAAAATATCAGTTTCATTTAAAACTTAAATCAATACTTGCGAAAAATATCATTGTTATCAATTTTTTAGAGGAGAAAATGATGAAAATTGTTATTTTATTCCTCAAACATATTCTGCTTACCCTACCCCAAATCTTTGGGCGCGCCACCGGTATCTTTAACACAATTTTACGAGATTTTATTTTGTTAATATACTTATTCACACCTATTGGATTGACATATATGTAATATTTACATATAGGTGCAATGTGGTGTAGCCTTAGTATAGTGTTAATAATTGGGCTCTTAGCCAACGTGATTGTGATCAGTCTCAGCAAACGAAAGACGATATCGATCCCAGTTAGTCTAAACACTTACTTGGCTGTGTTTGAAGGACTTACGATCATCTGATTAATTATCACTGTACTCTGTTTAAGATGTTGGGATTGTTATGGAAAAAGAAATTGATAGTTTTATGTTATAATATACACTCCTGCTTCTTTTAAAAGAAAAATATATACCTATTTCTTTTTTTTTTTTTTCGAAGTTTAGTAAAACTTCCTTCAATAGCTCTTTTGTAAAGAAATAACATAATACACATACTTCTATAGTCATAAAGATCACATTTATGTGACATTTATCCTATATATGCTATCAACCTCTCTTAAATTAGTTTTATCACATTTTGTATAAAGTTATTTTATATTGTTGAGGTTTGATAATTCACTAACCGCATGACAGGTGACGCCTCCAACCCACGGGCTTCCACTATAGGCGAGGCGTAACCTTTGCGTCAACAAGTATAAGACATTTGTTTGTTTTATGAATATCTTACTATATAATGATATTTAAGGCCTTTCGGGTATACTACAAGTTTTAATTATTGTGCAACTACATAAACCCGATTTTTCAGTTCCTTAGCAGGAACCGTGATCATGGTAATCACGGTCGGGATTATGTATTTGTATAATAATAATAAAAAAGACTCGTATGTAGTGTATCCGAAAAACCATATTTTCCTAGTAATCTTACTTATTATTAGTGTTTTTATATCTAACAGACTACGTATAATCATATATTCGATAACATTCATATTGCTCAGAAAAAAAATCCTTATTTTTATTTATAAAACAGTTTTTTTTAAATCAAATATACTAACGTTTCTAATTACTTATTATATTTATTATATGAAAGAAGGAAATAAATTAAAAAGTATATACATATAGCATCTAATATTACTAATGCAAAACTATACCTAACAATACGGGATTGTTTAAGTAGAAAGTATTCCTATGTATGTTATTTTTTCATGTTATTTCTACAACTACAAAATGCCTTAGGGTACAATTAATAGTGAATGCTTGAGCAATTTTAAATTTATCAAACATTCGCTTCTGGCTGAATAACGCCACGCCCATCGAGAATACTAGTAATTAAATAGCTTCTTAGATTTATGTATGATATTACCAATATAACAGCTATGGAAACTTTAGTTGTATTTGGAAATCATTTTTCAGATATCAAAATTTTGGTTACCTAAGGCGAAGTACTTAGTTTGGTCAAAATCATTGTTTATAATTGAAATCATATCATTACGAATTATTTTACTATAAAACAATAGGCCTGTATACAAGATTTGTTTACTATCTTTAGGTAACAGGTGCTGACAAAGTTCTAAATTTCATACGTCGTCAACTAATCTGACATATCTATGGCAAATCGCGTTTCACTATAAAGCTACAATCACGGGAAACAGGTCGAGGAACATTGTGAAAATAAAACTCCCACGAATCGCTAATAGGCCTAATAACTTCCTACGATCTTATTTTCGACGAGAAAGTTGTTGTTAGGAGACATTCGCACCCGTTCGACAGTTTTAACGTTGTCTAGGAAAGAAATAAGAAGTAAGAAGTAACTTATTTAACACATTATTTTCCCACAACTCAAATTTAATTCCATCATTTATTATAATTTAAATTTTGGTTATTTATAAACACCATAGGTTTGTTAAGCCGTGTTTGACATATGTAAAGCATTATAGTTTTTTTCAAAGCTGCTTTGTTAACGAGAATAATGTAAGCGCACAGGTCAATAAAGACAGATGGCTCGGAGATGTTGTATGTGATTAAAGAAATTGTTTCGGTCACGCAACTATTAAGAACCTGTATATAAGTATTTACTATTACACACTTTGTGATTTTATCTATTTCCTTATGTAATTGGGATTTCGAAATATAAAAGAATCGGTATGATAATATAATGGCTTATAGTAGTACAATAGAAATTGAAAAATAAAAGCAAAACAACACATTGATAATAACATTTTATTAGTAGCGTAAAAATTCCTATTAAGTTACGTGCAATCTTATGCTAGACAAATATAAAGTATTTTAAAATCAAAGCACCGATAATGAATTATGCTGGTCTTTTTTAAATTATAATCCATCGTAGCATCGTTTAGAAAACTACATAAGTAGGTTCAGTTGTGATCCCGCAGCTGTTATCCCGGGTTGTGATATGGAAATAGCCGTCAACACCCCAATCCCGGCCCCAAGAGTTCTTCACTATCCAATACTCTTCACCATCCAATTCACCATAGCCGACGAGAGTTACTTCGTGGTTTAAATTTGTAGTACTGCTGTAGAGTGGTAAAGAAAATATTGTTAAGTTAGTTCTTTAAAATTATAAACCTATGTCTAGAAAATATCAAACTAGTTTTTTACTTTGTGTATTCAATGTAATGTAAAACCGTGTTATGATGAAACTTATATTTTCAAATTACTAATCGTATTTCATTATTTCTAAAAACTACGTACTCCCGACGTTTTGATTACTTTGCAGCAACCGTGATCACGGTCAGAGGAGATGTGAATACTCGCGAAAGTCTTAGATCTTACTATGTTATGATGTAATAATATAAAGAAAAATATATGATTATGCATAAATAAAATAAAGAAATTAATGATTTAAATTAAGATCTATTTCCCTATATATATAAAACTTGGATAATCATTTCCACAAACATTAAATAATTTCAACCTGAAAATAATCAATACACAATCCGCGTCTGTGACACTCGAGGAATACCAAGAGACTAGAAACAGTTCGGTAATAAATATTTCCCGAATCATTTTCCAGCCGAATTACGCTTTTCTCTATGGCACGATCCGTTATTTTTGTGTCATATATTCCGTATGACATTTCTCTGCTCATTCCAGGTAATAGAGATTTATGGAGTTTTCGCAAAAGCAACATAACATACAAATACCGTAGAATGTAAACGAACAAAGCTATGCCGGCTTTGTATTATATTTAAAGATAATTTGTTTATTATTCATAGTTTTTATATTAAAAAAATAAATGTTAGTAAAAATCTGTCTTACCAATCACTGTCAGAGTAGATACCGCCGTTGTATAAAGTGAGCATTTCTGTTGCGTCAATGGACACTGACAACGGACCGTGGTTCACCAAAGCCACCTTCAATACATATTCAACAGTTTAGGAATAATACAAGAGTGCTAGTTTATTGGACAATACACTTTATAATTCATTAAAATGAAATATTAGTTATAATTCATATTAAAATTAGTGATAAAGCTCTCTTTACCTTAAGAGCTTCAACGCTGAAGGGTGTGACGTTAGTAAATCCTTTTATCTTGTAGATTTGAGTCATATTGTGTATTTTACAGAAACCGTCCTAAAATGTGGATAACATTTAAATATAGCATAAAGGTAATTTTAAAATCGTACTCTTTTTTTAAATCGGTGTATCTAATTTTATTAATTAACAGGCACTTACTTTGTTCACATATGGACCATACTCCTCTTCAGTGGGCATACCATAATTCATCATCCAATGATACGCTCCCGTATCTGTACCCCCGTTACAGCCTAAATTTTCGTACCTATAAATTATAAAGTCACTATAAAATTGAGTAAAGTTTTACGATATTTTTTCTCAACCAACTATTAAAAACCATTACGGACCCCCAGGCACAGTCTATAAGAGCTTGATTAGCAAGTCTCATAAGTCTTCCACCATTTATTCTTGCCAGAGCTCCCTCCACCGCGCTAGTTGTTCCAAAAGTCCAACAAGATCCACAATCCTGTTGATCTATTTTTTAAAAAGAACAAATATTTGTTACATTCGATCCCGGTTCGTAATTGTCAAAACAGTTGTGTTGTTTTAGTTTAAGTAAAATTAGCATGGATGACTTTGAATGCATTGAAAAGAATTCTGCCTTTACTAGTTTATTAATCATCGTAAATAATACAATTTAAACCAATCAATTTATTTCAGTTCCAGATATTATTTTATGTCATAAATAGGAGAGAAAAAGTTGTTTTTATCTAAAATTTCGGTCTCTATAATAATCGTCGGTTACCCGACAAAAGATTTTGTACTGTATCAATGAATTTCCCAAGTGACTTTACCAGGGGAATATTGATGTTTGGAAATTTTATTAGGATAGCTAACCTATTCCAGAAAAAAAAATTGTAATGATTTTCTTTGTTTTTGATCCCTATCATCGTATAACTGATTGGCGATTTTGCAGCGGAACGTAACTTACCAATCTTAATATGTTCATCTTCCTAGGAACTTAAAATCCGAAGCCTACTCAAATATGAAGTAACAAAAATCTCTATAAAATGTGAGTCTAGGATAGCAAATTGTTAGAGAAGAGTGAGGAGTTTTCACTAGGCTAAATTTTACATAGATAAATATGATTGTAGAAACAAAACTCACCCTTAACCGGTGTTACTAGCCCGTACATCCTCGCGTCATATTCTTTGGGTAGTGAATCAGACATTTCAGCGATCTTTGATTCGGTATACGGAAATGGAATTGCGCCTGATGATTTGCCTCGTCGTTTGAGACCCTTCCGTTTTTCCATTTCTTTGTGGGTAAGATCAGCAAACTTATTTATCGCTAGCTCGAAGTTTTTATTATTTTTATTATGCTCCTCGATCTTTCTAAATATAAATAAATTTTATTTGAATTTAACAATTTGATAGTGGATTTTATTTTTATTATAATAATCTGTAGGTACCTTAAATTATTTTCAAATATTTTTCTGCGCTGCTCATGTTCAAAACTGTCGTAGTTTTTATTGTACTTTTGCATGAATCTTAAAAAAAGAATCAAATACATATATATTTAAACCATTCCATAACCCAATTAATATAAGAATTGATTAAAGGTACAATTATAACTTTTCACTCACTCTGCGAATACGTGATCCGAATCCAAGTTTGCGCTTTCATCACTGTCATCCACTTCGTTTTCATTATTATCTTCGTCCGAATCAATTTTGCAATCATCTTGAAAATACAAAATGTTAAAATTATTTAAAAAATCAGTAATATGTAAATTTATAATAAACAAAATTCATACATTCATCTATGTCAAAGACGTCTTCGCTAAAATCGGTTTTGAAGTTGAAGATGTTCCAAATTGTGTGATCTTTCACATTTTTAATCCAAGTATTATATATTATCTTTTCATATCTGAAACAAATATTATCAATGAAAAAAAAATTGTTGAATTTAAAGGATGAAATAAAAAGAGTTATTTTATAAAATATTTTTGGTTCTCGCGTTATTTACAACTCTTCTCCTTTTAACACACATCTTAGGACCAAATATATGTACAATAAAGATAATAATTTTATGGAATTACCTAACGGGTATAAATGTTGAGTCATTTTGTAATACCCATAAATTCTGCCTTGTTTGAGAGTTAATATAATCTTTGTCTTCAAAAAATGTAAACTTTTCGACCTCACCCAATTCAAGTTTCTCCTTCCCTTAAAAGTTTTAGAAAGAAAATAGTGAATAAACAAACATATTTTTATTATAAGGTGCTTAAGCTCCGTGAAGTTCAATATTATTTATTTACCAATATGGACAAAATCGTCAACATCTGGCAAAACCTTATCCAGTTTGGCTTGTCTGAAGATGTTTCCTTTCATTCCCGTGCAGATGAATTTGTTCTCGTATTCTTCATTACTTTCAGGATGAATCTATTGATGATATTATTTTAATTAAAGTAATATTTGTAACAAAATAGTAACAAATATGAAAGTATAATGAATACTATTTACATTAGTTAAGGATTTTTATATATGTCGTGTTAAATTACCTCATATTTTACACCGAAAGGAAATTCTGACTTCCTTCTGCCCTTAATTGTTATCCGTTTTACGGCACCTTTGTTAAAATCTACCCTTGATTTTTTGCTTACTCGCCTGAATATATTTAATTAATAATTAGTATACAAAGAAAAAAATCTAAAGGAATTATATTTTTAAATATATTTTAAAATTAAATTTTATGATAAATTACCAGTAGGTAACATCCTGCACCAAACCTGACGTCAGTGATAGAGTTTCGGCTTCGAACGAATACTTTTTGGGCCATTTCAGTTTTGGAAGGTCATCTTGAAGAACTAAATGAAAATGATGCAAGAATATAATTAAAAAGGTTTATTCGCGAATTAAAACATATAACTTGAATAGAACCATTCTTTTTTAATTATCTTTTTAAAGGTATTTAGCATTATTTTTTTAAATGCTAAAGTGCTTTTTATTAATATCCTCATTGCTAGTTGAGTGATCGTGTTTAGTGTTAATATCCACAAAATGATATACAATAGCAAGTTTTTAACTTTATATGTTAAAGTTACATGGACAGTCTATTTCGCTGTAAATCATAGGAACTAATTAAAATGAACCCCAATATCAATAAGGAAATATGCATCAGCATATAACATCAGGTATCGAGAGAGATTTTGAAATATGGGTTGGCAGTGATATTATAATTTTTTTCTTTACGTTCTCAATGTGATGATGTTAAGGGTCAAATTTATCTCAGGTTATGCAGATTGTTGTAATAATTAGAAAAAAAATTTCGAACCAATTGAATTAGTAGAGTGAATGTTAATTACCATTTTTCCCAGCAACCGATGCAACAATGAGTAACGGAAAAATTTTTAATATAAAGGCAATCATGGCTTCACCTTACTGAGAATACTGAGAATATCTCATAAAACATAGCATTTTATAGAGGAAGTTATCATTTTTTAAAATAATTAATTAGTTTTTGTTGATAAGGATTTGTAAACGATATGTAAACACGTATTTATTATTAATGAAAAAAAAATCGAATATTATTTTAAATGGGATTTTATTTTAAATATTATAGTATGCTCTTAAAAATTTTAATTTGTTTAAGCCAAACTTTTAGGGACTCCGTCTATAATGAGAACTGTTTATAAACAGAATTTGTTAATCCTTAAACTACAAAACCAATACAAATGTTTTTAAAAATGTGAAGAAATATATATTTCTTTACACATGTTTCCTCTTTCGTAAATTAAAGTCAAGAATTTGATTTAGCTATCAAATTATTTCCTATAACTTAAAATTATTCAATATTTATAAATAGTACATACATAAACAAAAGTTTTTTCTTCTTGTTGCTGTTAAAAATTCAAATTAGCCATAAGGCAGGTGATCTTCTTAATAAAATATTATATGTATATAAAAGGAAAGGAAATAAATAACCCCATTACAAAATAGCCATGGGACAAACCGTCACGTGTTTGCACACCTGTAATAACAGAAACTATAATTTTCAGTTATCCTATAAAGAACAAACAAAACCATAAAACAAAATATAGTAAACAGTGATAAAATTTTAATGATATGTTATCAATGGCTTAACTAGTAATTAAAATGGTAAAAGTATTAATTAAAGTCCCTTACATGAAAAACATTAATATAGGTATGTATATGTATATTTTTTGATCGCTATCTATTATAAAGAGTTTATGTAAAACTCATAACTTTGTGACTCTAGTTAGTAATAAAATTAAAGAAAAGCTATTAAGTGATAAGAATAATTTCCAAATAATGGTATAAAAGTAAAAAAGGCTTTACTTTAAGTTCTGAAGTAGGTCAGTCACGAATAGTTGTACAGAATAATATTTATTAATACGTAGGACTTGAATAATATCCACCCAGGTTTGACTATGTAAAGAGAACGGAGCAGTATGCCTGTTTGAAAAATATTATAATGCTTTCCGTCAACGTCGTTTATTAAATTTAATACTAAAAAAGAATATAGTATTTCCAGTTTTTGCGAAATTTCACTCCTGACCTTCGCTGGTGGCTTCAGGTTATTGCAGCATTCTAGGAAATTTAAAAAACGAGCCTTGTTAAGGGAATCTCTGTAGCCTCTTAACAAGTGACGTTTGCTTTGCTTTGGAAACTTCTTCTTATAAGATTTGGAGCTTTTTTTTGTAATTCGTTGGTGTCTACCGATCAGTTGAAGTCTCAACTCGTTCTGAGCAACGTTGCAGTAGCATTACTTCCTCAAGTTACACACTTCAGTCACACAGTCACAACAGTCACCAACACTTCACAGTTGGATATAATTAGAGCGAGAATCTGCAGTTCCCTGGATAGATTCAGATAACTTTGTTTTTACCACAAAGAGATTTGTAATGTCATGTTGTGCATAGTTGTTGGTTGGGTGAGCTTAATCTGTAGTTATTCAACTCACAAATATTTCAATTCAATGTACAGAGGTAACTGTTCTTAAAACTTCAAGGAGTAAACAACAAGTGTTTTCTTTATTATGAAAAATCAAAAATAAAATGAATGGTGAATATAAAATATACCGACCTTTTTTGCGTGTCGTTGCTATCTTGACTGGAATTGTAACCATCTAAACTCTACTGCTATTTACAACTTGTGCAACTATAACAACATGTATACCTCGTAGCCTCCTAGTTCAAGGCAGCTTGGTTTTAGACCCTCGTCAAACAGAATGTGTTGAACGGTACACTTTCTTGCCAAAACTCCTTAAAACCCCCGTCATTGTCAATGAATCACACTAAAATCCATTCCACAATTGTGATATCGTAGTTATAATAAAATTGTAATTAAGCTTATGGGTGGGCAGTAATATAATTTAATTCTACAGCTTTAATATATAATAATTACCAAGATTCTTATAACTTTATATTTAAAAAAGGAGAAGCGAGATTCTGTTGAAGTTGGAACTTATTTCATTTATATTAAAAAAATATTCTATAATAACAAATAATGTTATAATAAGGGACGCTTGGGTAAAGAGTGTACTCAAATTTACACGCTTTTTGAGCTTGGATAATGCAATTTTCTCGATAACATGCTAAGTCATAATTTCAGCCTCAATGGCTGGTTAGAGAGTAGAGTGTAAGTAAATGCAGTTATTTTTAGTTCATACTTTATATAGCAGTTTATTTAATGAAGTGTATGCTTTGTTTTTATGAAGCTAATCCTAGCGTTCATGTCTCTTTATATTTATAGAGTAGCTGTGTTGGAAGCTAACTTTAAAAATATTTTTATTTACGAAAAATATTTTTTAAAATCAAATATAAAAAAACAATATTGGTTTGAGAGAATTTGTGGAATTTAGAAATGTTTTCGCTTTTTACTGGATATATGATGAGACCAGTCCTCAGATAACAACCAAAATAGTTGTCAGGAAGAATGAAGATGAAAATTGCAAAATTTAGATAATATAAGCCTTATAGATTTGATACAATGTCATATCATATGGTCTTAAATTTCTATAAAGTTTTATGACAAAGTCAGTGAAATTTGTTTCCAAAATTTGAAAGTTGTTGTGATACACCCTAGCTAATAACTTGTATCAATTACTTATAGGAAAGTATTTTTGAAATAAATTACAAATAAATAAAAAAAAATCTCTTGGCATGGACGAATGGGACACAAGAATTATTGAGATATGAATAAGATCCTTGAGCGAGCTGAAGGCATACTTGACAATTATTGAGGGTCCATTAAATAAAAAAAGCCTATGGTAATTTTCATATCTTATTCAATTAACTAAGTATTTCATACTTACTCTAAAAAATGTCTTATGCAAGAGATGAATCTAGATGAAACAGCAAAAAAAAAAAATTGTTTGGTTTTCAATTGTCCAAACTGTTGGGGAGAGAGACCTTTGCGACAGTATCATTAGCACCATATATTTGAAGTCATTCAAAAAATCAATACGGTATTCGAGATTCTGATAAGAAAACCAAAATCAAATGTGAAAGGAAAGTATTTAGTTCTGAGGTTATAACAAAGGAATCTGAGGAAAGACGCGAATAAATGGGACTCTAAACTTAGAAAACGAATATTTGTTGGTTATGTAGATCTGTAAATAAACGAGTAGCTGACGATATATAGACCTGAATGGAGAACATCATATAAAGTATTAAAACTAGAATATTGCAAAATATACGAATACATTAAATAAATCCGTCTAAACCCGGTAAATGAACATTGTAAAAGTTACATTTGTCCAGCTTTTTTTAACATCTATGATTCTCAATTAGTGGAGGAAACTTTTTCATCTTATTATGCAGACCCGGGAAAGAGTATATTATGTATACTATATACTTCTTTATATGAATGAAGCATCCTATCGGTATTAATGTGTATAAAAGCTGTGAGATACGTGTGATCGTGATAGACCAAGAATAGTTTACTCTCAATTTAAAATTGATTTCTCTTAGATGCGGCGTAAGCCAATTCGGAATTAGATAAACACAATAAAGAGAACAAAAATATTATATAATATATAGTATTGAGTATGATTTCAGTAAATTTAATCTTTAGTTAAGAATATAAGATATCAAAATAAGATTTTTGTAAAAATACTCAGGAGTGTTTTTGCTTCAGAAAGTCTCTATTTTATAGAAATTATGTTAAAGGCAGACTTTGGTGCTTTCTAAATAAATCTGAGTATATAGCGACTATGTAGCAGAAATGTATGGCTTTAAGTATCAAGGAGGCCCTTTGGATCCAATAATTCCGAACTAAACTTGGCCAAGCAAGTGCTTATGCTCTTGTTATTTATTCTGTAAATAAAAGTGCAATGAGAAGCATATTTAATCAGACTTCTATAAACTACAAATAAAGCACAGATATATTCGTTTGTATCTTCTTAAAAATAATATTGTTGACTCTAAAGTTTAATTTTATATGTAAAAAGTATATGTTGGCGGATAATAAAAATAACATAAATTGTCTTTTTTATTTCATATGACTTTGTCACTTTACGTTCAACAGGAAGTTTTAGTCGGCGAACGCAAACAAATTTGCAATCATTTTGTAAGACAAAAGTCATTGTTCAAAGACTTTCATAACTTTCTTTCAAAACATATAATATGTTTCGCTTAGATCTAAATAAAAATAATCAAACGAATTTGTTTTATATGTGGATACAAGAGTTATAAAAAAATTGCTAACTTAAAACAGCTTTACCTTTTTTAGTACCTACAACTTATAGGAACATAAAGGTGTATGCTATGATAAGGGCAAAACCAGGCATTGAACTGTAATCTCGGTCCCTGCCATGTCAA